ATTCGGTTTCTATTAGACATATTAATCTTACTGTATTACTATAAACCTAAGGCCTCCTATATATATTGGATTTTGCAGTTGTATAAAACCTAGATACCACATCATACCCTTTAACCATGGAACTCTATCACCGAGTTTCTGATTTGCATTCATGGAGATCGGACTGGAAAATAAAAATATTGGTTTTAAAAAAATGGGAAACTCTTGGTCCACAAGGAATTGAAGGTTTGGAATTTATTCTGGTGGATGAAGAAGTAAGTTATTATTATTTACTTCATAATAGTATTATTTTTCAGTAACATCTTAATATATTGATACTGAAATTATCACAGGGATGCAAGATTCAAGCTTCGATGACTAATCCTGTGTTGGTTTCGTATTATGATCAAGCTTTGCAAGAAGGACAGTGGAATACTCTACATGATTTTGTTGTAAATGATTCATTTTGGTTTCAGAAAACAACTCATCATAAATGGAGGATTTTTCTACTTCAGAATACTTCTGTCAAAAGGCTATATGAAATCTCCACCGATAATCAATTTATGTCTTTCTCAGAGTTTGAGGATATTTTGGATGGGACTATTGATCATAAGTATCCTATTGGTATTTAATATTTGTCTTATAAATATCATTGAATTTCAATTTAAAATATTTAAAACATCTTTTGATGCTTTATGTGATACTAGATCTACTTGGTGTTGTTGTCCACGTTGGACGACTTACAAAGATTAATGATTACGGACTAGATTGTTATTTTCGTAGATACTATAGTCGACTACGATTTACGTTGAGAAATATCAAGTAAGTATTTGAATCGTTACCTATTTAGTTGTATGTTATTAAGATAACAATATATTTTGTTAATAAATTGTAGGAATGTTGAAATTAGTTGTGTTGCTTTTGGAAACTTGGCTGATGATTTCCAATCACAATGGTGGTCTGCCTGTGGTTCTAATATAACATGTGTATTGACAGACTGGCGTATAACTTACAACAATGGTATGTTTCTAACTATTTTATTAACATTTAATCATGATAACAATAGTTATTATGGTTTAATCAAATATTAAGTATACATAAAATATATGTTTTAGGGACATTGACTGTTTCTGATGCAAGAGGAATGTGAAGGTTTCTTTTTGATCCCCATATTGTTGAAGTTGACAAGTTCAAAGATAAGTAAGTACTATATAAATATTTGATATTTTACTAAATGCCAGTAATAACATATCTGTATATAACTATTTAGGTACTTCAAATCCAATAAGACCGAGAACAATGACATTGAGGTTAAAGACTAAGGATATAGTACTTAATTATGTTTGGAGGTTCAACTATTCATGTCGTTTACCTACAAAGGTGACCAAGTGAAGTAGTCAACGTTTTAATTCTATGAAATTATGTCAAATTCAGTATTTATTAATAAAATAGATTGCTTTCATTATTCTCTATAGCTGTTTGCTCATTACGATAGATATATGTATATATATTCGTCTAATACTATATATGTTTATATTATGTAGACAACATTGAAAATTTAATGAATATTATCCTGAATTATAAATAACAAAAATCATACCAAGTTAATATACATTCAAGTAATGAGACAGATATATAAAATCATTCTTATAACCTAACTATCAACATACACACAAATACAAATTTAAATTGTATATGCTCTCCAAACTTGAAATCTTTAAAAAAAAAAACTTTCCGTGCACAGTACGGGTCTAAATCTAGTACAGTCTTTAAACCAAAAATAATATTAAAAAAAGGCTTAAGAGATTTATATGAGTCTTTGGGTTGATGATGCTCTTACAAATCAACAAAAACATAAATTATTTTTTTACCATCAAGGTTATTTTTGTCCAACACATCGATTGGTTTAAAACTGATTACTTATGTTTACTTAACATCGCATTAGATAGGAAAGGGTCAAAGTTTACTTATCTCTAGGATATTAGTATGAATTTTTAGACAGATGATATTAGTATGAGATTTAAATCTCTTTCAAGTATCCGATTCCAATTCATAACTAATAATTGCGGTTTGTATAAGAAAACTTCTACTTAAACATCTTAATTAATGAACTTGACATGTAGCATTGATCTTCATAAAAAGAAAACAAGGTTCTAGACTTCTAGCTAGTCCCTGTCAACAGAGATCGAGAATCCAATCCCTGTTAAAGCCTAGGAGAATTTACATTTTCATATAATAGGAGAATTTACATTTTTATGTTTTATGTAATTTGCAATAAATCGTCGGTTACATAAACTAATGGGCCTTGATTGAGCCGAAAGTTAACCCTAGCTCTCTATAAATAATATCAATCTCTCTTCAAGCATCTTGTTTGATTCTACGCAAAGAGAAGCGATGGATAGAGATTGGGGAAGAGGGTGGATGAGTTCGACGATGCACCGTGACTTTTTCGCAGAGATGGACGATTGTTCAGAATCTTCCACGATGATGCCGATGGACGTCGATGATAATGAAAGTGAATGCGTGGAGAGGTTCGGTGGCGTTATAGGAGGATTCTTCTCCTCGAAGCCCTATGACCGCGATTTCTTCAACAGCTTCGAGGATGATTTTGACGATTCCGATATTAACTGATTCTCGACCCCCGGGCCTTATAAATTTAATTTTATTTATCTAAGGGTTTTTGTGGAAGAGTCGACATTATTGTTTTAGGGTTTTGCTATTAGAGTTGATTGGTTTTATCACTACTCTCATATTGTTTGCTCCTACATGGTTTGTTGTGTTTTGTCTTGATCACTTCTGATCTCAAGTAATCTCTGCGATTTTCTATAATGATGTTGTGAAAGTTTCAAAAAAATTGTAGCAAGCGTGTCTACTAAATATGTAGAAATCTTATTAGATACATGTCGAGATTCAAATATGTCTAAAAGTTCAGACTAACAATCCTCAGTTATGTTCTAAATCATGAGGATTATTTTCCTCTTTTCCCAATATGTCAATTTGATATCCTAGATCGAATATGAAACATATCATGTGCTGTCAAAGACAATGTCAAAAACAATATCTCTGAGTTAGAAAATAGACACAGAGTTCAATTTGAGAATTAGCTAAAGCCATCATCATAATCCTTAACAGCTTAGCTAGCTGTTTCAAACACGAGAGAAACGAAACGGGGATACCTAATTGTTTTTCCCGATTCGACCAAACATGTTAAATACTGAATGAAAAGAATTTATAAAGAAAACTGAGATTTTCTTTCGAGTACTTCATCAATTTTGATTATTTAATATTAATATTTTTATGTTTTAGAAAATTTCAAGTTAATAATTTTAGTTTGTACCAAACATGTCGAAGATATGTGATAATTTCTTGTTTTGACAAGATCGAGATGACTTGTGTGTTTATTTTTTTTTTTAAGTCAATGTTGGTCAAATCGTCTCAACAAATCATCTTCCTTTTTCATAATCCTTGAAGAACTTTGAGGATTATGATGGCTATAGCCAATACACAATTGCAAATGTGTCTGATTGCAAAACTCAGGCCCACTCATCTTAACATCGCATTTGATAGCAAAGGGTCAAAGTTTACTTATCTCTAGGATATTAGTATGAATTTTAGACAGAGGATATTAGTATGAAAACTAAATCTCTTACTAGTTTCCGATTCCGATTCATAACTAATTATTGCGGTATATATTTATAAGAAAACTACTACTTAAACATCTTACTTAATAAACTTGACATTTGGCATTGATCTTCATAAAAACAAAAGAAGGTTCTAGTCCCTGTCAGAGATCGAGAATCCGATCCGGTTAAAGCCTAGACAGTTCAGATTCATGCTTTTTATCTTAACACTGTCCAAAAATATAATATCTGATGAGCAACGATATGATTTGGTTCACTTTCAGCCGTTGGTTTTGAGCAACCCAATCAGGAAAGTCATCCCGAGGAGGTGGGAACTCGTCGTCATGCAGAACCAAATGATGTAGACCACACATAACCGGGGCACGTGTTACGATAACAAAAAGAAACTTCAATAAATGGTTCGCTTTGCTCCACCATTCAATATACGTGTGCATGTAACTTTTTTTATTTTGTTGGAAACTTGGAATGCTATTTTGTGCCCGTGTACGATCGTTGTTTCTTTTATTCAATCTATGGTGGATAATTTTTTTCTTATTCGCAAAGGATCTTTTCTTCTTTTGTCTAGATACGACAACTAGTTATATGTTTAAAAAAAAGACAGTTGTTACATTTTTGACTTGATTGAAAATAAAATGAAGAACATTGATATTTATTCTGAGACAAATATATAAAACTGATCATTTATTTAGAGGATTAATTAGCACCACATAACTCAAACTAATAAAACGATTTTTGTTGTAAAGATAATATCCGAATCGAGTTGATCTTGTGACCTCTAAAATCCCTCAATAAAAGATAAATTTTTATCTACAGACAAGATCATGTGTTTTTTTTTGGGTTTTTGCTAAAAATAACCCAAAACTTGACTTTGAATACAAAAGTAGACCCCTCAAAAAATATTTAGCAGAAATAACCTAAAAGATAGTGAAAAAACCATTTAAACCTGTATGAATAAACAAAAAACGGATGTCCTAATTACCGTTTACACCCTGACGAAGTCTACTAAAGTGAAAAAGAAGTCTATTCATTTCATCGAAATGAAGTCTACTAAATAATTAAATCTGTAAATTTAATTTTAAATTTTTTTAAAAATTATTTTAGTATCAAATTTACATTCATAAATTCCGTAATCGTAACTCAAATGTACATAAATTATTTTTTCATATTGCTAAATGGAAATGTATGTTTTTAAATTAAATAGAAGTAAATTTATTATTTAGGTTTTAAAAGTTGTAGACTTCTATATTGAAGTCTGCTAAACCGAATAAAATAACCTAACCGAAATTTAAACCGAAATTAAACCCATATTAAACCAAAAATATATATTTTAACCGGAAATTTTATCCTACTATATAAACCAACGAATCCTCGTAAAACCCTAATTTTTTCAAAGAGACTCTCTAATTCGGCGCTTTCTTCTGGCCTCCATCGCCTCTCTCACGATTTTTTTCGAAGCTCAGAGATCTGGTGTCCTCCCTTGTAACCAGAGAGTAACTTAGCGCTTTCAATCCGGTCTCAACAACTCAACAACGGCGAATCAAGCAGCTTCTGTGGGTTCAGATTCAACGAGAACATCGATTTTTTTAGATCTGCTTGCGAACGAGCTGTACACGAGGTCTTTTTCTATGCTGTTTCAGGTTAGAAATCTCTCTTTAGATTATACTCTGCTTTTTGTTTTTAGCAAAACGTTTGTTTGATCTTCACTGTAGGTGACCTCAACATAGTGAGCAACAAAAGAGGTCCACCGTCGACTTCCTCACCGCCGTGCAGCTTTGTCTGGGTATGGTTTTGATGTCTGGTTCAAATTGTTAGCTTTTTCAAGTTTCTTCTTTTTACTTATTAAATGATGTTTTGTCCAGAAATTTTGGTTTTATTTAATTGGAATCCACTTTGAATTTTTTTATTTATTCATAATATACTAAGATCTAAGTGTCAGAACTAATTTGATTTAGTTTAGTAATCAGATCTGTGATTATGTGTTTCTCGGAAACCTCCCTTCCTCTTCTTTATTAGATTTGTTACTTGGGTTGATGTTTAATTTTTACTCCTTTCATTTGCAGTATCTTAGAAATCTCAACAATTCATCACTGTCATCTCCGAAAGCAGACTTCTTGAGTTGATTTCGAAAGCAGACTTCTTAAGTTGACTTCTTTCATTTGCAGTATCTCACAAATCTCAAAAATTCGTCACCGTCATCTCCATTTTCTCCACCATCGACATCGAGACGGGTAGGGAGTTTTGTCCTAACAGGCCGAAGTGCCCAACACAACAATTAAGCTCATTTACAAAACAGAACCCAATAAGTAAATAATTGATCTTCTGTTTGCTCATGATCTCTTTTTGTGTAATGATTATCAATTTTGTCTGTAATGGTCATTAATTGTAATAATCATCAACTGTAGTAGTCTTTTAATTGTCATCAACCGTTATTTTTTATGTATCTTTATCAAATATGTAACATAATCAAATTATTCTATATGGACAAAATATAATGGTTCAGAGTATGGTGCAAAGAAAAGTTCCATAAACTAATTCTAAATAAAAATTTTAAGTGACTGATTTTGCACCAGTTTTAAAACCACAAAATAGAAGAAGAATGGATTGGTGTTACATGTTTATTCAATGTCACAAATTTTTTGAAGTAATTGAATGTTGCATCAGTTTTAAAATTACAAAGTATGTCAAATCCAAAAAAATAAGAAAAAAAAAACAGAAGAGTGAGGTTAGTGTTATTAACAAGAGAACTTAAAAATGACTCTACAATCTTTTAGAATTTTTGAAGATTTATTTTTATGGAGTTGATCATTTTCTGTAATTAAACACAAAAAACCATATTAGCAAACGAAATTACAAACTACGTTATTGCAAAAATGTAAGTAACAAATTTTCTATATAGGAGACTTCGTCTGCAGACTTCATCTGTAGACTGGAGATGAAGTCTATTCTTCCAAGCTAACTAGCTATTAAATCAACAAATTCGATTCTATAATAAATATTGACTTAAAACAAATGAAACTCATTGAGTAATTAGACCAGTTGGTAACACACATTCCAAAACCTAAAAATACAAAAAATAATTTATATATATTCAGTAATTTTGTTTTTAAAATAATGATACCGAGCAGACTTCGTGTGCAGACTTCATCCGTAGACTGCTGGAGAAGTTTACTTTAATAAGCTAACTAGCTTAAAAATCAAAACTTCTGATTCAACAATAAATATCAAATGAAATGAAATGAAATTCACTGGGTAGTTCAATCACTTCATAAAAAGCATTTCTAATCCAAAAAATAAAAAAATACTTTATAAATTTGCCTAAAACGCGTTTTTAAAAAAACTACAATAAGTAGACTTCTAAAGCAGACTTCAAACGTAGACTGGCGAAGAAGTCTACTTTTTCATAGTGAAGTCTACTAAAGAAGTCTATTAAAAAACAGGTTATTTTTGCAATTGACCATTTCGTTGACTTTTTCTTCAGTAGACTTCAGAAATAGACTTCCGGCCAAAAAGGTTACTTTAGCATTTGACCGATGCATTGACTAACAAAGTAGACTTCTATTGTAGACTTCATGTACGAGTAGACTTCTCTGACAATCTACTTTTGAAGTATACTTTTTCAATAGAAGTCTACGGAAAAAAATAGGTTATTTTTGCAATTGAATTTTTTGAGTAAACTTCACTGTGAAGTCTACTTAAAAAAAAGATTCTTTCTAAGTTTGACCGAAAAATATAAGTAGACTTCCCAAAGAAGTCTACAGTTTTTAGACTTCTTTCTGAAGTCTACGGTAGCTTTCCGGAGTTTTATGAATTTTTTAATTTTTAAAAAATTTTAGTCAAACACTAAAATGACCTATACGTTTTTGGTCAAACTACAAAAATAACTCAAAAATAGACTTCTTGTGCAGACGTAAATAGTAGACTTTAGAAAGAAGTCTACATTAAAAAGTCAAAATACGGTCAACTACAAAAATAACCTCTTTTCTTTCGTAGACTTCTTAAGCCTTCAAATGAAGTCTATTATGCTTTTTTTTTGTTTTCAAAGGATATCGAGTAGACTTCTCGTGAGGTTTAATGAAGTCTACTTTTAAAAGTCAATTGCAAAAATAACCTTATGTTGACTAGTAGACTTCAGTATACTTCACGAGAAGTCTACTTTCGCGATATGAAAACTGAAATATGGAGAAATTGAAGTGCGACGATTACCTTTAACAAAATTGAGTTCGGCTACAGTTCTTTTAAGCACCCAGAACTCAGGATTTTACCAAAAATAAGCAACCCAGATGTTAAGTAACCAGAAATCACCAAAAATGCATGACTTTTGGCATTGTAACTTAACCCAGATGTTTTGGAGAAGAAATTATGAAAGAATGAGGAAGGTTATGAGTGAATGAGCTCAAATCTTTACTTATTACAGCTTTAAAATTGGTTGAGAAGCATTTATTCCATTTTCATGGTTCTTCATGGTGGTTGAAGAAATTGAAGAAGATGGCATTCTCGTAATAAAAAGGTTTTTAGAAGGTCCAAGGAGACTTTAGCCAAATTAAAGAAAAATCGAAATAATAGATGTATAATGACATTTTCGTTAATAGTTTAAGTGGGAAGGATAAAATTGTGAGAAAATGGCAAAAGTTGGAGAGAAAAAAAAAAGGTTAGTTTGGTGTTTGACTTTGAAATATGGGTTAAATCTGAAACTTTTTCTTTTTTTTCACCACTTAAATCCTTTCAGGGTAACTGTTCATTGGATTATGATTGTTAATATGTGTTTTTTTTTAGATTAAGGCATTCTTTGTATTTATCTGTCTTAGATTGTAGTGAAAGCACTTTGCGTTTCTTAAAGATTAAGGTATTCGTTTCATTTTTTCTTTCAGGTGGTTGGATTAAAATCACAATAAGATCAATTTCCCGAAGAAAAGAAAGAATGTTGATAACGCAATTAAGAAATATAAGTGTATTATTTGGATCTAGAACCGGATCAACTCCTTCAAAAATCTTCTTTGATCGCGTGGGGTGGAATAATAATTCAAAACAATTTGGCCATCTTTACCAGGTTCTACTTGGATTCTATATTTTTATTTCGTGCAAATGATGTTATTTACAGTTAAAGTATCCAACTATCCACTATGATATCTTATTTGTTGCTCAAAGTTGTATGTATATGCGTATTATAATATTATTTCATGCGTAGACATCCATGACAAGCCAAAATGAATTAAGGATTGTGCAAACCAGTCAAGGTTCTAAACACTAACTATTTCTATGATTTAGTCGTGACTATATTTCTCTGTTAACAACTATAGATTCTGTAAATTACGATCATACGAGTAATCCTTACATTTATCACAACCTGGTTCATCTAAAAAAAAAGCTTTGCCCCAAAATGGAGCCAGCACTCTTTCTTAATTATCTATTCGTGAGCAAAAATCATTTTCTTATTTTTACGTTCCTGACTATTACGTCATTTAAAATTTTAAATCTTTGGAAACAAACAAAGAGTAGTTGTGAGTCACTTCTTTTTTATTTTTTAGACGGTTCATAGCCAAAGTGTTTTGGCTCAACTTCAATCGCTTGTTTAATCGATAACATTGCGAGAATCTCATTCACAAATCATTTATTCGTTAGTTATCAATCATAATCTAATATTATTTAAACTTATATGAGACCTTAACAACTATTCATATTTGCTCTATTAATCTATTCGTATATAAGATTTAGTTACAGAAGCAACCGAGATGAAACGTACATTTCATGAAAGAAAACGTTATAATAACCATCACCATCCCCGTTTTCTTTTAAGAAAAAACGCTTTTCTCCTAGATATAAACCGTGAAAAAAAAAGTATTGTAATTTTAACAATAAAAACAAATTTAACAATATTTGGTCCCCAATCTTTCACCACAAAATATATTTCTGAGCTTAGACAAAAAAAAATAAAACATATTTATGAGGTTATAAGCGCGTCTGCTGGAAAGTTCACGCGCACTGTTCACATCACCGTCCATTTTGAGCTCTGACACTAATCCAGAGATCTCAACGTGTCTTTATCCACATCGTACGTTTATACACGTGTCGTTCGATTAACGATTCAATCAAAGATTATTTTAATCTTATCCTTTTTATGCTTCCCTATAAATATCTTCCCTGTTCTTCTTCCTCTCCAGATCTCTTCTTTGTCACTTAGAAAAAAACTCAAAAATCTCAAGTTTCTGATTTCATTATTGATTCTCATCAGATTTCAAAAAAAAGAGAAAACCAAGTTTCTGATCTTCTGAATTCGTTTTTCTCGGGAAAAATTAGCAGAGATAGAGAGAAATGGCGCTAAATTTATCTCATCAGCTCGGAACACTTGCCGGAACTCCGATCAAATCCGGCGAAATGACGGCACCGTCGGCCGATTCATCGTTATCGGTTTCACCACCGTCGGCGATGATGCCTAAAGCCATGAATCTGAACTACAAGGCTCACGGAATGGATCCGAATAGAAACGTATCGCCGCCGATGAGTCCGGTTCTGAGGTCGAATCGAGCGGATCTGTCGGTGGCGTGTAAAGCTTTCGCGGTGGAGAGTACAGTCTCAGGGTTTGAGACTATGGAGGAACAAAGAACGTACAAAGAAGGAGGGATTACGGGAAAAAAGGAGAACGGAGGAGTTCCGGTTTTCGTTATGATGCCGCTTGATAGTGTGACGATGGGGAACACGGTGAATCGGAGGAAAGCTATGAAAGCGAGTCTTCAGGCGTTGAAGAGTGCTGGTGTGGAAGGAATCATGATCGATGTTTGGTGGGGTTTGGTGGAGAGGGAATCTCCCGGAGCTTACAATTGGGGAGGTTACAGTGAGCTGCTTGAGATGGCGAAGAAGCTTGGACTCAAGGTTCAGGCTGTTATGTCTTTTCATCAGTGCGGTGGCAACGTCGGTGACTCCGTCACGTACGTACTTATCTTCCTCTATCTCTTGTGTGCACTGAATTGGATTTACAGAGATTCTATGGTTGTTTAGTTTCATTAGGAAGAATCTCTATTATGAAGAGGAAGATCTTTTCCATTTTTGAGGAATTTTCAGAATTAGATTGACCTGAAGTAGGATTTGAGGCTTGAGAAATTGCAGATTATGATCGATTTGGGAATAGTTTATTGAAATTTTGGGTAGGCAAAATTGTTTCTTCGCTTCATTGATTAACGGAGTAACGTGCACGGGAATTGCGTTGACACGTGATGACACAATGTTCTAGAGGATAGTGATAGGTTCAAGAGTGTAAGAACCACACATCTTCTTCTTTGTTTGCTTGAGCGTCTCTAATTAAAAGATTATGTTTACTTGTTCGTCTTTTTCTCCCTTGTTCTTCTTACGAGATTTTTAGCTCCTTTTAGGCCTATTCTTGTATTCTTTTGTATTTCCTCACCGGTCTTGTGTCTCTTTCAAGATTGATTAAAGAAGATGGAATCTGTAGTCAAAGACGTTTCTTTTGGATTGGACCAATGATTTATTTGTTGTCTTCAGCATAGACTTAAGTTCATGTATTTTTTACAAGGATGAAGTCACTGTCTTGTAATTCACTACTTGTCTTGTAATTCACTACTGAGATTTGGTGTGTTCTAATTCAGAAAACTTTTATTTTCATCTTCTACAGTATTCCTCTGCCTCAGTGGGTTGTTGAAGAGGTTGACAAGGACCCAGACCTTGCATACACTGATCAGTGGGGAAGAAGGAACCACGAGTACATATCACTTGGCGCTGATACACTCCCAGTTCTAAAAGGTCGAACCCCCGTGCAATGCTATTCGGATTTCATGCGTGCTTTCAGAGACAACTTCAAGCATCTTCTTGGAGACACCATTGTGGTAATTGCAGCTTCTCTTTACACATGTCGTGTTTCATGTCAGAACATGCCTCTTTGACTGTCTCTGTTTCTCTATGATGTTTGGTTGGATAATTGACTTTGGATTGAAATCGTTTTTCAGGAAATACAAGTGGGAATGGGACCAGCAGGGGAGCTGCGTTACCCTTCGTACCCGGAGCAGAACGGGACATGGAAATTCCCAGGGATTGGAGCCTTCCAGTGCTATGACAAGGTAATTACCACAAATCACACACATGAATCGCCTCTCTGATTCATTAGATGTAATACTAAAATTTTGTTTTACTTGCTCCAGTACTCATTAAGCAGCTTGAAAGCGGCAGCTGAGGCTTACGGGAAGCCAGAATGGGGCGGTACTGGCCCAACCGATGCTGGTCACTACAATAACTGGCCTGAAGACACTCAGTTTTTCAAAAAAGAAGACGGTGGTTGGAACACAGAGTATGGGGAGTTCTTCCTCACATGGTACTCCCAGATGCTACTCGATCACGGCGAGCGAATCCTATCCTCAGCCAAATCGATCTTCGAAAACAGAGGTGTCAAAATATCAGTCAAAATCGCCGGAATCCACTGGCACTACGGGACACGCTCACACGCACCTGAGCTCACGGCAGGATACTACAACACAAGGTTCAGAGACGGATACCTCCCTATAGCCCAAATGTTAGCCAGACACAACGCGATATTCAACTTCACGTGTATCGAGATGAGAGACCATGAGCAGCCTCAAGACGCGCTTTGTGCACCGGAGAAGCTAGTGAACCAGGTGGCTCTAGCCACACTGGCTGCAGAAGTTCCTTTAGCTGGCGAGAACGCGTTGCCTAGGTACGATGACTACGCGCACGAGCAGATCCTCAAGGCGTCCGCGTTGAGCTTTGATCAGAACAGCGAGGGAGAGAATCGAGAGATGTGCGCGTTTACTTACCTGAGGATGAATCCGGAGCTGTTTCAGGCGGATAATTGGGGGAAGTTTGTAGGGTTTGTGAAGAAAATGAGTGAAGGGAGAGACTCTCATAGGTGTTGGGAAGAGGTGGAGCGTGAAGCTGAGCACTTTGTGCACGTTACTCAGCCACTGGTTCAAGAAGCTGCAGTTGCTCTCACTCACTAAAGAAATGACATTGTTCGTTGTTTATATTTGTATGCGATATAAGGAAATGACTATGTGATGATGCCGAAAAATATGTTTAGGCTAAGTTTGTGTATGTATGGTTAGTAAAAACATGAAATGTGTCACAACTCTTGGTTTTTTTTGGTCAGGTTGTGGCATTGTACTACTGCTACTAATATATGCTAAAAAAGTATATGTACAAAACTACAAAACTTTCTCCCTTTTTTTCTTTCGTATGGTAATGTTGATCAATATACCATGAAGAAGATGTTCTAAAGCATTTGTATGATATTACATAAAATTATGAATGTTTAAAATGATTGATGAATGGGGTATTGTGCGTTGATATATCATGCGTAAAACTTATAAGTTATAACAATACTTGCAAAACGATGCCTTCTTAATGTTGCTTGAACGTTGGAGTGTCTGTATCAAATGTTAAGTGAATTGAGAATTTGATATGTTTCGATTTAGTGAATGTAAAATGGAGAAACTGAGACTGTAAAATAGCTTTGGTTCCACGTTCAATTCTATCGTTTAAACAAACCTTATGGATGTATATTAACAGGAGAAAAAATTTGGTGGAAATGGGTACTCTTCTGAATTTTTTTTCCCTTTTTTTTTACTATGAAAACATAGGAAAAAGTTTCATCCAATTCCACATTAAAAAAAATTATTTGTTCACAAAAGTTTTAAAAATGGTTCCTTTACTATTTTCAAGAGAAATAAGCCTCTATCATCCCAAATTCACTCACCTCTATTCCATTTATTGCTCACTATTATGGAACCTATGTGTGAGTCATTTATGCACTTAGGCTTTGGTCCGAACGTTTTATTCATGGTGAATTTGTAGAAAAAAAACTTAGAATGGACTAGTTAAATGAAATCTAATAAAGAATACCTATTCATAGATTGTGTCAGAGTTTTTTTTTGTCGTCAGATTGTGTCAGTGGTTACTACACTGGTTTGTGGTGTTCATTCTTCAGATTCTGAAGAAATTACTGGCAAAAAACACAAAACCAAGTTCTTAATCTCCTACGTTTACTGTACCATTATAAGTAGATTAAGATCATCCAAAATTAACAAGCTATTTTTTTTTTACCAAGTTCCTTAATCAATGTTTTCACCAAAAGAACGACTATAATCAGGGAGACAGAACACTAAGCACTAATTAATTATCCTTCTAATTAATGGAAAAGATTATAGAACTGTACAAAATGAGAATAATTAAAAACAGAGAGCCGGGTTAATAGGGAAGTTCACGTGAAGGGACAGCTTAACCCAGCCAAACAAAGATACTAAATTCTCTCATTCTCAGAAACAAAAAACATGGGACCAACCTAATCGTTTAATTGATTATGTGGCTGTAAAACCAAAAACCTATTAACTATTCATATGAATAAGGTTGTGATTAGACAACAGTCTAACTTTTGTCTCTTCCTCTAAATGATTAAGTTGACCCTTGAGCCACTCAAAAACAGGTATGTCTATTCACCTCCTAATGTGAGATCTAAACATAGATTGTCTCTTTTTTTTTTAAGACTTGTGAGTTGTGACTATGTAAACTGATTAGTAATATGAAGAGAAGACTTAATAGAGTATATATAGAGTTATAGAGAGAGGGATGGGTCCAAATAGTTGAATATGGACCATGTGAAAAAAACAAAGAAAGCCCACAACATTAATTGGTAAATGGATGAGAATATGGTGTTGTAGTTTTCCATGTCCTTAAACCTAATCTTTTAACACAATATTTCCACCTTCCTTTCTGACATCTCCCATCACTCTCCCTTCATAATTTATTCCATTCCACCAATTTTCAATTTAACTTTTTTAACTGTAGTCTTGTACACATGTGAGAGAAAAGTAGGCTAGAGAAATTACTGTTGTGAGATGCCTTTTTTTGGGAGGCCTTATATAAATATGGTAGAGTGGGCACTAGTGGAGCTTCTTCACTCAGAATTATGACTTCTCTTTATTGAATGAAGAGGAGCTCTCTACATCACGAGAACACATTCGAGAGAGAGAGAGAGAGAGACTTCTTCAGTAACATTCTTGTTTCATGTCCTAGGAAGAAATATCCACAAGATTTAGACATGGGTGGTTGCACAAGCAAGCAAGAGAGAAGAAGTATGAGAAGTGTCAAGGAGACTTCAACTGAAAAAAGCAGAGAAAGAAGAATCATGAGAAGAGAGATGGATGAGAGAGAGAAACTGCTGTTTGATCAGCTTAGAGAGGCAGAGAGAGAGTGGAGGAAAGAGAGGAAGAAGCTTAGAGAAGAAGTGAAGAGGCTAAGGAAGAAAGTGGAGGAGAGAGAGGAAGCAAAGGCAACAACAACAGAGGAGAGAGAGTATTGGAAATGGGTGATTGAGGAGATGTGTGTAGAGAGAGCTGTGAGAGATGAAGCCGTTGAGAAATGGAAACAACTCTACTTAGCTATCAAGAATGAGCTTGATCACCTCATCATCCACACAACTTCTTCCTCTGGTAAAAAATCAACTTAAATTCAGTTTTTGATTTTTAATAGAGTATGGATATTTGAAAGTGGGTTTTTGTAGGTGAGGCAATAATGCAAAGGACACTTGAGGAAGAAGAAGAAGAAGCATATAAGACAATGGAAGAATTGCGAGATGAAGTTAGAGTTAAGGAAGGTACAATAGAGACATTAAAAGAGAAAATAGCTTTGATGGATAGACAAAAGTATGAGAAGGAAAGAGAGATTGATATACTGAGACAGAGTCTGAGGATTCTCGGAAGCAAGAAGAATAAGAAGAAAGGAGCATCATTTGCATCACTGAATCTGCTGATTTTGAAGACCAAATGTGTAGAATGTACATAACACTTAAAAGTCAAATAAATAGTCTTCTACAACAGTGATCATATCTCACTCATCAGAGAATCTGATCCACAATGTCATATTACTTCACTTTTTGTTTGTTTACCTTTTTTTATATTGGAAGTAGCAGCACTACGAGTTCGAAAAGCACATGACGACACATAAAAGATTTTTAATAAATTATTAATGTTTGGTTATGTAAGATACTCACTCCTAGTAATGATGATCATGAAGACAGACATGAACCATTTCGTTTGCATATAAAGCATCTCTGCTTTCTCTTAATCTGTGCTCATACCACTGTAACATCAATCATCTCCACATAACTTCTAAATCACGATGATTTTTTATATTTTGTAAACACTGTTACATCATCATCAAAAATAAGTGATACAATCCTATTACAAAATAATGATTAAACGATTAAATTCTACTACTAGCAGCATTTGCAATTATAACGAAAAGCTCCACTAACAACGATTCCTATAATGAAAATCTTTTCGCAAAAAACGAATCCACGACGATTCCACCTCCATCACCCACGATGGACAACTCTGCAACATATGATATTACGACACTTTGGAACTTGTAATAAAGTTTTGCCTCTATTAATCCACATTTTTTAGGAATCGAACTCCATAATTGGTGTAGAAACTTTTAAACTCTTTAACCATTAGACCATGGGCTTCCAAAGTTCACAAGATGATTAACCAACCAATGACCATACCAACGACAGTCAGTTAGATTTCAGTTACGATATAAAATCGTTTCTTTTTCAATACAATTTTAAATTTTGGTAGGAATTATCTAAACCGGATCAAACACTCGATTTAACCGGATTTATTTTTCCCTTACTGGTTCTGACAAACGGCATCGTTTTGAAAAAACCACCAAAAAACCCTACTCTCTGTGTCTATCTGAATTTTGACAATATCTTCTCATTCCTTCCTTCCATTACCACGTTTCATTCGCTCACTCACTCTCAGACTTCAAACTTTTGTAAACGTGCCTCCCTCCACGACACTCCGCCGCAAAAACCCATTTCCAAAGTTTCAAACTTTCAATCCTTCAAACATTCCTTAAACCCTTTTTATTTGATCAAAATCTTCACTTCACACGCCGCAATGCACGCCACAATCTTCTCACCACGCGCCACTCTCTTCCCCTGTAAACCTCTCTCCAATGACCACTCTCGCCGCCGATCAACCTTCACCTGCTCCGTCCAACCCGTAACCGCCGATCCCTCCCCTCCTCCTACCGACTCCAAGAAGCTCAACAAGTACAGCTCGAGAATCACCGAGCCCAAATCGCAAGGCGGGTCACAAGCGATCCTACACGGCGTGGGCTTGTCCGACGACGATTTGCTGAAACCCCAGATCGGGATTTCGTCGGTTTGGTACGAAGGAAACACCTGCAACATGCATTTGCTTCAGTTGTCTGAGGCTGTGAAGGAAGGAGTGGAGAAAGCAGGGATGGTTGGGTTTAGATTCAATACGATTGGTGTGAGTGATGCTATCTCGATGGGGACGAGAGGGATGTGTTTCAGTCTTCAATCTAGAGATTTGATTGCTGATAGTATCGAGACTGTGATGAGCGCTCAATGGTATGATGGCAACATCTCTATTCCTGGTTGTGATAAAAATGTGAGCTTTTTTTTTTCTGTTTTTGTTTCTCTTCAAAATCCCTCTTTTTGTGATTGATTGTGTTGTATGAAGTTTCTCAGCTTCATGTTTATGTGATTTGTGTGGCAATTTTCAGATGCCTGGAACAATTATGGCCATGGGAAGGCTTAACAGACCAGGCATTATGGTTTATGGTGGAACCATCAAGGTACTATACTTTATCAAGTTTCTTAATTGACAAGCCAGCAGAGAGTTCTCTAAACCCTACACCCTTGTGGTTAGTTGGATTGATTATTCACCTTGCTTTGATTTTATTGCAGCCTGGCCATTTTGAAGAGAAGACATATGACATAGTATCTGCTTTCCAGGTATCTTTCTCTTCTTTCTGCTCTAGGCCTGATGATAAACACCTTTTTGTTTCTATGTGAAATGTTGTTACTTTCTGTTAAGCTTTTCAAATTTTGGGATAAGAGTCACTTTGGTGTCAAATCATTCTTATTCATGTTTTCCAATTTGTATTTTCAGTGTTATGGAGAATTTGTTAGTGGCTCTATAAGTGATGAACAGAGAAAGACTGTCCTTCATAATGCTTGTCCTGGAGCTGGAGCCTGTGGTGGCATGTACACAGCTAATACAATGGCTTCTGCAATCGAAGCCATGGGAATGTCCCTTCCTTACAGGTTAGATTTTCAACACTACAGGCCACATGATAAGATCATACACGCTCCCAGATTTATGCTTAATAGGAAATCTTAATCTGTATTTGTGTTATGCTTATTTCAAAAGTTTAAATATTTACTAGAACTTTTATGTGGTTCTTGTTTTTATGAAGCTCCTCGATACCTGCTGAAGACCCGTTGAAGCTGGACGAGTGCCGTTTAGCTGGAAAATATCTTCTAGAATTGCTAAAGATGGACTTGAAGCCCCGTGACATTATCACTCCAAAATCACTTCGTAATGCGATGGTTACCGTCATGGCTCTTGGGGGATCAACCAACGCTGTATTGCATCTAATTGCTATTGCGAGGTACCATGTTAATTTCTTTTGCTTATTATTATCACGTTTAACAATAGACAGAGGTGATAAACGAAAATTATTTCAGGTCTGTTGGTTTGGAGTTAACCCTTGACGATTTCCAGAAGGTCAGCGACGCTATTCCATTTCTAGCAGACCTTAAACCCAGTGGGAAATATGTTATGGAAGATATACACAAGGTACGGTTTTGGCAAATACCATTTTGCTTATTAGTTCTTTGGCAATATCATTTTGCTTATTAGTTCTTTGGCAATATCATTTTGCTTATTAGTTATGTGTTTTCTATTTGATCATTTTGAATATTTGTTGTTGTTTGATCTACAGATAGGTGGTACGCCAGCTGTTCTTCGTTATCTATTAGAGGCTGGATTCATGGATGGTGATTGCATCACAGGTATAAATGCTAAAACTGTTAGAAACTCATATTAACTTTTTGGCTTGATGTGAATTGCTTTATTAGACTCATATTCTTTTGCGTCTCCTAACAGTCACAGGGCAGACTTTGGCTCAAAATTTAGAAAACGTCCCTCGCTTACCAGAAGGCCAGGTTGGTTTATTTTGTAATGTTATTGGTTCTCTCATCAGAATCTACCGGCTATTTCTACTTGATTATGATGGATGTTATCTATACAATTGTCTAATTAAAATATTTCAAAATGTCTCAGGATATAATTAGACCTGTGTCAAACCCAATCAAGGAGACAGGACACATTCAGATTTTGAGAGGAGACCTTGCACCAGAAGGTTCTGTAGCAAAAATTACCGGCAAAGAAGGATTATATTTCTCTGGTAATGTTGGTTCACTCTTATTTATGCCTCCTTTAATCTTAACACTTTCCCATTTTTTAGGGCTTATATAATGGAACTATTTGTTTGTTTTAGGTCCCGCACTTGTATTTGAAGGAGAGGAATCTATGTTGGCTGCTATATCAGCAGACCCGGCGAGTTTTAAGGTAATTTCCTTTCTGATATGAAATATCTCAAGAGCTGGTTAATTCTACTATCTGCTGAGATGTATCGTGTTACAGGGAACAGTTGTTGTTATCAGAGGAGAAGGTCCTAAAGGAGGTCCAGGCATGCCTGAGATGTTGACACCGACAAGTGCAATAATGGGTGCTGGTCTTGGAAAGGTGTGATCACTATGACTGTGTTAGGAGACTTTTTTACTTAGCTTGATCAGATTTATCGTAGTGACCTGATTCTTTTTTATCTTGCTGTTGGATGCTGCAGGAATGTGCATTACTGACTGATGGTAGGTTCTCTGGTGGGTCACACGGTTTTGTTGTTGGCCACATATGCCCTGAAGCTCAGGTCTGTCTCTCTCTCTCTCTCTTCACTGGCTTGGCTTTACTAATCTTTCATATACTAAAACAGATATTAATGTGATTCTTTCCTGGTGTGTATTTATGTATGCAGGAAGGTGGACCAATAGGTCTGATAGAGAATGGAGACATAATCACAATTGACATCGGAAAGAAGAGAATAGACACGCGGGTCTCTCCCGAGGAATTGAACGAGCGTAGAAAGAAATGGACTGCTCCTGCGTACAAGGTTAACCGCGGAGTTCTATACAAGGTAAACTAATGAAACCACTACGTGTATGTTATGTAATGTATCGCTTCTTTTGTCGTTTGTCCTGAGTTGTTGCTAAAACAATGGTTGGATGATTGATGATTTCTAAAACAGTACATTAAGAACGTGCAATCGGCTTCAGCTGGATGCGTGACTGATGAGTAAGCGAGAGATCTCTGAGCTGTTTTGTGAAGGAGCAGCAGAAAAGCAGTGTGTGCTCATGAGGGAACGGCTTTTTGTTTTCTTTAGTGTTTATTATTTAGCTTTTGGATCATTTTGCTCTGTACTGTTCATGACTGATCATTAGCTATTTGCATGATTCGATTTAAGATTTTGTTTCTCTTATTGTCAAAATAAATAAAAACTTGATTGTAGTGTTGAGAATAAAGACAGATTTGCTGAAAATTCAAGTCCTTTTTTTTTTTTTTGACATCAGAGTTATATTAACAGACATTAGAGATTTAGAACCATAGCGTGAGTTTCTCTAACATATCAGATGAGCAAAATATTACAACAGTTTATTAGTTCTCATGTCTCACAAGAAAATCTTGCAAACAAAAATAAAACTATAATCTAACAAGATTTGGGATAAGAGAAGAAGAGACGTTAGCTTGGCCCTTGGTCTGCCCAGCATTGTATGATTGTTGCAAGTTCGACATGATTTTATCATTACTTTAACTTCTTTGAAGTGTGGTGTTTTTTTTTTTTTTGGGATGTTTGATTGGGCGGTTGATTTTTTTTTTGTTCTTTTGTGATGAGAAGTGTATTTTATAATGTTCTTTTTTTCTTGTTGATAATTCGGAGCATTGATTTTGTGGTGAAGAAAAATGAGTAAAGTTCGGTGGAGAGATTTCTTTTTGATATTATTTGACTTAATTTGTTTTTTTTGTTTTGTTAAAAGCTCAATAATTTATTTTTAT